ATCCACTGACTAGGCTGTGGATCCTAATTCTTTGTTCAAAGCACAAGTCTAGATGTTACGGAGGTATTTTTTAGATTTGGTTATCATTGAAACCAGTAGACTTTGAGAAAGCAGATTCTCTTCCATATGTTGATAGCCTCATCCAATTAGTTGAGGACCTCAAGAGAAAAGATTGAAATCCCCTGATGAGGAAGGAATTCTGCCTCTTGGCTGCCTTTAGACGCACATCAACTTGGTAGAATTTCCAGCCGGCAGTCCTGAAGATTTCAGACTTGCCAGCTCCCTCAATTGTTTAAGTCAAGCTCTTAAAATAAATCTCTTTATATGTTTGTCTGCATATCTCCTCCTCTGACTTCTGTTTCCTTGTTGAATCTCGACTAAGACCTTCTTTTGGCCTTGCTCTACTCTCTTAGCATTGCCCTGAGACAGAGGGAGTTTTTACCTTTTATACCCAACTGGGGGTACTGGCAAACACAGCCAATCAACCCTATCGATATTTTTTCTAGTCCCTAGGAAAGCCGATGGTTGCTAAAGAACTTCTTCCCTCTTGAATAGAACTTAGCTTGGCTTCTGTGTATTCATTCATAAAGTGGAACAAATGAAAATTCAAGGGATCCAATTTTGTTTCCCCAAGCTACTATATGGCCAGCCTGGACTTATGGACTTCAAAGTTCACATGCCTCCATTATGCCTCACTGTCCCAATAATGTCACAGGATTAGGAAAATAGCATATGGATTGTGTTGTCTAGGGAAAGTGTCACTGAGAAGCACAGACATAAGATGCTTAATGGTGTACTGTTTCATTCCTGGGAAGGTAGGTAGGTGGTGGCAGGAGAAAAGCAGGGAGATGGGCATGTAGATTTTTTTGGTAAATGGAAAATAAATACATCTGGCTGGAATCTAGAGTTCACTCCGAGGACAGCAATGGAATAAGCTTCCTAACTAGAGTGGACATGGGTTGCAGCTATGGAAGCACTGGAATATCAGGATGCCTGCAGAGAGAGATGATGGGTGGTGCTGTGGTTTCATTTGTCCCCCAAGTTCACACGATGGAGACATAATCCCTGGGATGACAGTCTCGGGAGGTAGGGCCTTTAGAGGTGATT